TCTAACAGACATTCTGTCAGGACAGCAGTGGTCCTGGAGTTAAGGGTGGAGGCAGAAAGGTAGAGTTGGGTGTCATCCGCATGCAGATGGAAGTTGACCCCATGTCTCAAATGATATCACCAAGAGCTGGAATCTGGTTCTTTTTAAGAACTGTAAAACCTGCTTCAGAACTAAAACTGAATTTAAGAATTTCCGACAATTCTTATCATCTTTAATTTGAAAACATCAACAAATTGGATTAAAACGCAAAATGCTGCAGATGCTGGAAATCTGAAAACAAAAACAGAAGTCGCTGGGAACAGTCAGCAGGTCAGGCAGCATCTATGGAGAAAGGAAAGTGAGTCAACATTTCGGGTCCACAACCCTTCGTCAGAATGTGACATCAGCCGTGTCTATTTCTCCACTCCCTTCTCCCACTCAAATCGTTCTCCTTCCGAACGTGCTGCACTCCACTCTCTCAGGACCAATCCTGACATTATTGTCAGACCCACTGACAGGAGGCACTGTCGTCGTTTGGCGAAAGGACCTCTACCTGGCACAGGCTGAACGGCAACTCTCTGACGAATCCTCCTACCTTCCCCTGGACCATGACCGCACAAATGAACACCAAGCCATTATCACCGCGACAGTCAATGACCTCATCTCCTCTCGGGAGCTTCCCCCCACAGCCTCCAACCACATAGCACCCCAGCCATGCACAGCCCGCCTCTACCTCCTCCCCAAGATCCACAAACAGGAGTTTCCCGGGAGACCTATTGTTTCATCCTGTTCCAGCCCCACCAAACTGATCTCCTCGCATCTGGACTCTATTTTTGCTCCTCTTGTCCACGCCCTACCAACCTACATCCGTGACTCTTCTGACGTCCTCTGCCACTTCAACAATTTCCAGTTCCCGGGCCCTGTCCGTCTCTTATTCACAATGGACGTTCAGTCCCTCTACACCTCCATCCACCACAAGGATGGCCTGCAGGCCCTCCACTTCCACCTCAAGCAGCAGCCTAACCAGTCTCCATCCACCACCACCCTCCTCCGTCTGGCTGAACTTGTTCTGACATTGAACAACTTCACCTTCAACTCCAATCACTTCCTCCAAGTGAAAGGTGTCGCTATGGGAACCTATGGGTTCCAGCTATGCCTGCCTGTTTGTTGGCCACCTGGAATATGCTTTGTTCCGGGCCTACTCAGGTCCTTTCCCTGACCTGTTCCTCAGGTACATCGGCAACTGTGTTGGGGCTGTTTCCTGCTCTCGTAGTGAGCTGGAAAAATTCACTAATTTCGCTTCTATCTTCCACCCCTCCAGTTCTGACGAAGGGTCGTGGACCCGAAACGTTGACTTACTTTCCTTTCTCCATAGAAGCTGCCTGACCTGCTGAGTGTTCTTGGCTGTTTTTGTTAACAACTTGGATTATATTTCTTCTTCACAAGGAGTGGCGTCCTGGAGCAATTGAGACAAATTGCTCTTAAAGCTAACACTAGGTGAAATTTCAAGTCTCGGATACAACTGTTACATATGATGATCAATCAAAGAATATTCTCAACTACAGAAGTATCCTTCATTATGTTTCTATAATTTGTAATTCTTTAGGAAAGCTGTCCCAGTCAGGGATCAGCTGTGGGGAATGTAGGAAAATTGGGGATCAAACCAGAAACTTTGGTTGTGCACAGGTTTGGTGAGTCTCAGGGATCATTGTTGTATCAGCTTGGAATCATTCATAGCAACATAGAAACAGTTTAAGGCAAGGGCGGATTATTTTGTTTACCCATTCAGCATTCCAAAAAACTCCTTAGAGATTCATCTTTCTCAAATAACAGAGTGACATTTTCCACTCGCCAGGCCTCCTGGACCAACACCACCACCAATAATAATGTACCGCTATAGTGGCAGGTTAGCAGCTCAGAGCACTTAACCAATTGTTGACTTAATATTTAGATTATATTTATTTTTATTTAATTTAAATGAAATTGTTGACTTACAAGTCGATATATGTTCAGACAGAGAGATAATCAAGTTCACAGAGACAGGATGTTTTGTGTAAGACACCTTTATGTAGCAATGTGCATGATACAGAAAAATATTTTACCAATCTGGGGAATAGCATAACTGTATTTCTTTTTTATAATAATAATAATTATAATAATAATCCTTGCATTTGATATAGCACCTTATCATGTCGTTGAGATGTCCGTTTTTCTGTGACTCTATTTGTGTTGGCAAACACGAGAGACAATTTGCACAGCAACATAAGCAGGATAAGCAAACCAAAGGTGCAGTCAAAGATATATGATTTTAAATAGGTCTTGAAACAAAGGGTTTTGAAAGCAGAATTGGAGGGAACAAGGAAGAAGAGTTTAGGGAAACAGTTCCAGAGAGAGAATGCTCACCCACAAATAGGGTGGAGAGGGCATAAACAGGTCTGAGTCAGCAAAGTGGAGAGAGGGAGCAGATGAGAACTGCAGGAGATTGCAAACAGAGTGGGCCAAAAGTTTAAAGGCTACCTTTGTTGGAGTTATAAAGATTGACAGTAATTTTGATGAGTACAACAGATAATATTCAAATCCTGTTTTGTTCTGTGATATTTTAATGGTGTTAACTTATTTAACTGGCTGTTCCATAAATACACCCTCTTAAAACTTCTATAATGGAAAAAGATATTTAATCTGTCTAAGTTGTATAAAAATGGTTGCTTCATTCTAAAAGTTCCAATGTTTTAAATATTTAGGGACAAAGATATTGATGAATTGAATCAATTGTAAAACTAGTTTTGAAGAAGGCATTTATTTCAAATTGTTTCCCTGTTTGTCATGCTTTGAGATCAGTAGAATATTTGGAGTCCTGTAGCTCAGTGGTTAGAGCACTTGGGTTCGATTCCCGGCAGGATGAAATGTTGGGCAAGTTTCCTTACTGCATACGCCTCTGTTTACCTAGCAATAAGTAGGAACCCATTTGGCAGATCTCTTTTCGGGAGTAATAATTTCTTCTTCAAAAAAATTGGTCACTTCAATCCACGACTGTTTGTGAGGCACTGCTGTATGCAATTAGGTGCCGTGTTTCGTCCACAAAATATACAGCCAATTGACTTTACAGTATATTCTGTGAAGCAGTTTGAAAAGTCTCGAAGACGTGATAAAGTCCAATATCAAATACAAGGATTATTATTATTATTATTATATTTGACTGAAAACAACAACAACAACAAAATTACATTTATAGAGCGCCTTAAATGTAAAGCAGGAACAGGGAATACACAGTTGGGCAGTCTGCACAGTTAGCACTCTTTCTTCTGTATTTTTATAATATATAATAATTCTTGCATTTGATATAGTGCCTTTCAATTAAAAATGTCGTTGAGACGTTTCAAAGCCTTCACAGAATATACTGTAAAGTCAATTGACTGTATTTTTAATTGAAAGGCAATTATTTCAACTGCATCAACAACCTTCACAGGTATTGAAGCTGTCTATCATACTATTTATCTACGTGGCAGATCCAAGTCTGTCGTTATACCAAATGACTCAGCCTTGGACTAGCTACGTGGAAAAGGACAGTGCTAAAGTGAGCTCATTAGTAGAGTATGGTTTTGTCAGTTGTAATTTCTGCAATCAGAGCTCCCCCTCTGTTTGTCACTAGTAGTTATCTCTTCCTGGGGGGCAGTGAGAATCTTCTTGAAAATAACGTTTGATATGGAGACGCAACCAAGAGAGAGAGGGGGGGGGGAGCGTAGAAATGGAACGACATTAGTACGCATTCATACTATCTTTTGAGACAATAGGTGTAACTGACAACTTTTCTGCCAATGGTCACCAACCTCCTCACTGCTGAGACCTCTCCTCAGTCAGCTGGTAACATTATTATAAAGACAGGACACCATGGCTGAAGTGGCACTTTAACTCCAGGACTCACACTTTGGGAGATCCAGAACCCTGTCACTCACCGCCGAGCTGAGACAATGTTCACCTCAGTTTGCTGATATTTAGCTGGTGCAGAATTGTTTGGGATTAACTAGTGGAATCCTGTAGCTCAGTGGTGAGAGCACACGTCACACATGTGTGAGACCTGGGTTTGATTCCCAGCAGGGCAAAACCTTGGGCAAGTTTCCTTACTCCACTTACTCCTAGCAGTAAGTAGGAACCCGGGTGTTAGTCGATTGGCAGATCACTTTTCCGGGGGTAGTACTTCAATCAAAAAAAAATCAGTCACTCAAATCCACGACTCTTTGTGGGACACTGCTGTGTGCAATCGGCTGCCGGGTTTTTGTCCGCAAAATACGGTCAATTCACTTTACAGTATATTTTGTGAAGCGCTTTGAGACATCTTGAAGACATGATAATGTCTTGGTATATCAAAGGCAAGGATTAGTATCATTATTATAATCTTTAGCTCTCGGCCTGCAGCTATCTCTTGGTACGGATTAACACGTTGTCAAATCCAAACAGTGTCCAGTGTGTCCAGCATGCTGGGTGTGAGATGTTGGGCAGGCTATTATGGGAGTATATCTCCTGACAGTCAGTCTGGTGCTTGGCTTTTTATGAGAAGTTTATGTATTTCATTGACATATGACGACCATAAGGTGACCCAGTGCCCAACTTGCAGATGAGAATGTTTGAATTCAAACACATGAAACCAAGTGGTGAGAAGGTCAGACACAGGAACATGTTTCCAATATTTGACTCAGGATGTCTTTATGAGCCTAAGGTGGGTTTCTCTGGGGACTTTTGCAGCGATACAGCTCTCCTCCAGGAACTGCTCGCCTCACAGTAGAGGGTTCCCATAATCTCCCAACACAAAGCAAACATCCTGATCTCAAAGCCATGATCCCAGCTCTAATGTTGGCTTCACCTGCTGTACGTGTTGGGCAGGGAGGGAGGGAGGGAGGGAGGGAGGGAGGGAGGGGTGGGAGGTGTGTGTTTGCACAGCTGCACATGCGAGGCGTGGCTCTCAGGTGACGACAGGGGACTTGGGTTACTTTTCTGGCGCAAAGTCCCAGCTATCGACCCAGTCAGCCCGGACCAGAGACAGGAGATGCCTCGCGAGTTTGAGCTGTGCCCGGGGCGCCCCATCGGCGGGGACCAGCCCTGCTTCATCATCGCCGAGATCGGCCAGAACCACCAGGGAGACCTGGAGATAGCCAAGAAGATGATCCGGATGGCCAAGGTACCCACACACCCACCCACCCACCCACCCACCGTGTTGTGGGGAGCCTCCTGTGCTCCCGCCTCCAACAGACACTTCACCTATTCTCTTTAGGTCCAAACTGTAAGGGACGTTTAATCTCCTTCCAAACGTGCTCTTCTTTTTTTTTTGACTGTAGATCAATCGCCCTAACGCAATTGCCTCGTGTTTGAATGCAATTTTTTTTTACACACACGCAGTCCTGTCCACGACTGCTTTCCAAAAGTCACCAGAGAATACCAGCCAGTAACGGTTGGAGAGAGTGGCATCTCTGCTGCTCACATTATTTTCTATGTAAAATCTCTCTCTCTCTCTGTGATCTGAACAGCAGAGAGAATTTTGCAAAGTTGCATCAGTAATCATGCAAGAAAATAATGATCCGAGTAAATTCGTTTCAGTCTTACCCCTCCTTGTACCATAGTTCAATGTGATTCCCCTGTGGTTTATGTCAGCCTGGTGTATGACATATGTTGGGATAAAAAAAAAATTGCCATTTTAACGAGTTGCACATGAGAATGCAAATACCCCCACACCCCCCTTTGCCGAAAATTTCGTTGACATGTTTCAGGATTCTTCTTGAAACAGATGTCGGAGTTCTTGGCGGATTGCATAAGAACGAGAAGCAAAATCCTTAAATTTCTCTTACGTTGAAACCCTTCCATTTAATTTCAGGATTGATCCTTCCATTTGGTGCTTCCATTTCTTTTCGGATCCTTAAGGACGCTTTTTGGCGCGTCGGTATATCTCGAAGCGCTTCGAGTGATGTGTATTGATCGTGTAATGTGTAGGTGAACCTAATGCAGTATTTGTCCATTACATCAGGAATAAATGCATTTGATGACAGTATTTGAAAGTCATCTGTTGGGTAAGTGCTGTATGATGTTCAGGGGCGAGGGATTGGCAAATGCGTTAGAACAAGGAACCCAAAAAGTTGAATACAACGTACAAAAAAGTCCCCAAAGAATACTGACCAGTAACATGCGGGAAGAGTGGCATCTCTGCTAACTCTGGTTATTTTTAGTTGAAAAATATATACGGTCTGTCTGTGTATCTATTATCTGAATAGTCCAGCGGATTTGAATCAAGTTGGATTAGTAATCGTGCAAGAAAATAATGATCCTGGTAAATGCATCTCAGATTTTCCTGACGAATGAAAAATAGAGCCCCCGTTGGGTTTGCATTTTGCAAACAATTTTGTACAAATTTTACAAACCGGGATCTTCCTCTTCCAGTTTGACAGAACTATTTCCCTTTGCAAAAGTCTCGAGTTTCCCCTGAACGCTTTTACTGTCTCTCTCCATATATATATGTGTGTGTGTCTGTGTGTGTGTGTCTCTGTGTGTGTGTCTGTGTGTGTGTGTGTCTGTGTGTGTGTGTGTCTGTGTGTGTGTGTGTCTGTGTGTGTGTCGCTCCTTGTGATGTGCACCGCTGTTCAGGTGGTTATATCATAACCCGATGCCAACAAAGTTAATGGGTATCACAGCACCGACCAGAAGCATTAGGGACTCCCCATCTCAGTGTATTTACGGTGAAGTTAACGAATGAACACAATTAAACCGCAACTAACGACTCGCAGCATATGTTTACAAACGGTTAATCTGTCCGTAGAAAGAGAAAATCAGACTCACAGTTCTCTTCGAATTAAAAACAGCTTCAACTTGATCTCTTGTCCTCACCCCCGATGCCGCTCTGACTGCTCTCCTCTCTCTGAAGACAATATGACCAAAGTACAACCTCATCCGTGAAAAATGAATCACGGCCGTGCTGTGCTGTGCCTGCCCTGCCTGGCCCTGCCTGGCCCTGCCTGGCACTGCCCCCCTGCCCTGCCCTGCCTGGCCCTGCCCTGCCCTGCCTGGCACTGCCCCCCTGCCTGCCTGCCTGGCCCTGCCCTGCCCTGCCTGGCACTGCCCCCCTGCCCTGCCCTGCCCTGCCTGGCCCGGCCCCCCTGCCCCCTGCCCTGCCTGGCCCTGCCCCCTGCCCTGCCCTGCCCTGCCTGGCCCGGCCCCCCTGCCCTGCCCTGCCTGGCCCGGCCCCCCTGCCCTGCCCTGCCTGGCCCGGCCCCCCTGCCTGCCCTGCCTGGCCGGCCCCCTGCCCTGCCCTGCCCTGCCTGGCCCGGCCCCCCTGCCCTGCCCTGCCCTGCCTGGCCCGGCCCCCCTGCCCTGCCCTGCCCTGCCTGGCCCGGCCCCCCTGCCCTGCCCTGCCCCTGCCTTGCCCTGCCCTGCCCCTGCCTGGGCTGATGAGCTGAGCGCCGCTGTGACTGGCAGCCGCTCAGTGCTCACACGGCGGAGCTGCCCATCCACACACGGCCGATGCGCTTTGCTCGGCGGCCGCGGGGGGACCTCCCGCCCACCCTCACCAGTTGCTGAAGCCCCACCGGTGCAGAGAAGGCAATGCGGTCCTGCATCCGCAATCTGACCGCAAGCCCTCCCGTCCATGGAGCGACCCCCCCCCCCCCCCCCCACACACACACACCACAAGGTGCAATTCACAGCACGTACACCAACCACAATAATGAGCATTTTATATAACACCCGTCACATGGGATGGACAGTACCTCTGTTTATCTGAATAACAGAGAGAAACAATTTCCCAGTGGGCAAACCCCACCTCGGTGTAGATCTGGACCTCCCCCCCCCTCAGCAATGTCAGTCACCGGTGCTGCCACTACAAGTGTTTCACCGCAATTGAATAAATAAATCCACGTGAGAACGTTATCAGTTTGATAGTTGCGCGACGCGGACACGCGGGTTTATGCACTGTGTGTGTGTGTGTTTGTTTTTTAGTTGGTTTTATGCATAAAAGCAAATGCATATAATCGTTAACCCAATAAAAAATATAAAAAATCCTGAAAGCATCATTTGAAACGTGGAAACAAAAGCAGAAGGGGTTGGGGACACTCAGCAGGTCAGGTGTGGAGAGAGGAAAGTGGGTCAGTGTTTGGGGTCCACGACCCTTCGCCTGAACTGGACCAGACCCCGTTCTGACGAAGGATCGTGGACCCCAAGACTGCCACTCACTTTCCTCTCCCCACACCTGACCTGCTGAGTGTTCCCAACCACTTCTGGGGTTTTTTTTTTGTTCCGACGTTTCCAGCGTCTGCAGATACTTCGCGTTGCGTTTATATTAAAATGTTGGAAGTTACATCCACTGATGTTCCCCGCGCCGTGAAAGTGCTTAAATAAACCTGACTGTGGCTGCAGATGCTTTGTTTCGACCAATAGCTCAGGTAAGTGTCCTCCTCCCCCTCCTCCTCTGGTTTTGGTTTAACGAAGAGGGGAGGGGGATCTGTCAAGTGTAAAGCAACCACTGCCCCTCCGCAAGTGCCTGGTGTATTCTCCACACCCCGAGACCCGCAGAGAGAGGGGGGTGGGGGGGGGGGGGGGGGGGGGGACAGCTTGCACACACACTGCCATTAAAGTGAATAACTCGCACCGGCTCTGATGGATGCACATTGCACCAGGCGCGAAGAATAAAATACTCGCATCGTAAAACTACCGTTTTGAGTGTGGAGTGAGCGTGGTGCTGCGTGTGTTGTGTGTCTGCAGGAATGTGGGGCTGACTGTGCCAAGTTTCAGAAGAGTGAGCTGGAGTGCAGATTTAACAAGGGAGCCCTGAGTCGACCATACAATTCTCAGCACGCATGGAAACCCACTTACGGGGGGCACAAGCTTCACCTGGAGTTCAGCCACGAACAGTACAAGGAGCTGCAGAGATTTGCCAACGAAATTGGAATCTTCTTCACAGCATCCGGCATGGATGAGGTACAGTATATTTTTAGATGGTCCCATTGCCCCACCTGTGGAATCCAGTTGAAGCCCCAACTATTTTTTTTTTTTGGGGGGGGGGTCAACCTGACACATGCGGAAACCCATCACCGTGCTTTAAGTGTATCCAAACCAAGCTGAGATTTCCCTGCATCCCATCTAGACATGGAAATCCCAGACACAGGTTGTTGGACTGGAATGTGAGCTCTCTTCCTGGAGGGACACATCCTGGTTACCTGATTCTGGAAAGTGTAAGGCACTGGTTATCAAGAGCCAAGGCTTGAGGACCTCAGAGTGTGCGTTGGGGTAACTGTTGCAGTCTAACCAGCTAAAACCACATAGATATGGATAATTCAAGGAGGCTAGAAGTTCCAGCTACACCTTTGGCACTTGGGACAAGTTCCATCTGCCTTTGTCTTGGACTTGTTCTGAGCATTTCACAGTTTAAAATCTCTAACAATTTATAACTTTGGTCTTAATTCATTATTCATTTCCTCTACAACATACAGAAAAACCCGTGAAAAACTTTGAGACATCCTCTAGACTGAAAGATTCTATCAAATGCAAGAATTATTTATGTTATTTTAAGTACAACAAAAAACTGGCTTCAAAATTAAGACTGAATTTAAAAATTGTCCAAAATTTGTGCTTAGAAATGCTAAGAAAAAATTGTCTAGATCTAGACCAAGTGGAATTTCCCCAGTGGAAATTTTTTTATCTATGTTATTTAGATAACCGGAAGTACTATCCCATTGGAAGGATTTTGTATAACATGCAAATTATACAAATTTGTTGTTGTACATGCCTCATCAGTATGCCAGAGCAGTGCTTTTGCCAACTGAAATGTTGGGAAGATAATATTAAACAAGGACAAATATCAAAGCAAATTAAAGAAAGAAATGAAGTAAAAAGAACCACTTATCATCGAGTCTTTGCCCCTGCTAGGAAGAGAAGATTCAGTGGGATATCTAAATGAAGCAGCAAATACCTATAGTTCAGCCTGAAAGAGAGGAAATGCATTAATGAAAATCTGAATGTGATGTCTCGCTGAGTTTGTACAGTGTCTTTGTTCGGTTTCACAGATGGCAGTCCAATTTCTTCATGAACTCAATGTGCCTTTCTTGAAAATTGCATCTGCAGACTCAAATAACTTTCTGTATTTGGAAACCACTGCAAAAAAAGGTGAATGATTTCTGAAGACTTTCTGTTCTTTGCCCTGTAGATGAAGTTCTCAGTTTGCTGACCTTCTCATTTTGTTATGTCAGGCCATCCAATGGTGATTTCCAGCGGAATGCAGAGCATTGAAATTGTGAGACAGATTTACAAGACTGTGAAAGGGATTAATCCAAACTTCTGCATCCTGCAATGCACCAGTGCATACCCACTGTCTCCTGAGGATGTTAATCTGCGTGTTATCACGGTCAGTAAATAGTCGCACATGTATCACTAAAATGCATTCTCTAACATCATTTTCAGGCAATTGTAACTTACTTGTCTCATTTGTGAGGTCCAGGACCAAACTGTCAGTTGCATTTGTGGTCAAAATTAAGAATATTATTCAGGTTTGTTTTCTTTGTATTCTTAACTTCCTGCTTTCAGGAATACCAAAAGGAATTTCCAGACATTCCCATTGGATATTCTGGTCATGAAACTGGAATTGCTATCACTATAGCAGCAGTAGCTATGGGAGCCAAAGTTGTGGAACGTCATGTAACCTTGGATAAAACTTGGAAGGGCAATGATCACGAAGCATCCCTGGAGCCAAACGAGCTAACAGAACTGGTTCGCTCAATCCGCATCGTGGAGAGAGCTTTTGGGACCTCCGTCAAACGTTTGCTGCCTTGTGAGGAGAACTGTTTAAGCAAGGTAACTCATTTTAAACCATTGACCTAAAAAGCAATTTAAAATAAAATGGAACCCAAGTAATGTGGCGGGATATTCTGCTGTGACAAGTGTTTCCTTCAATGTGCAGAGCAACATCTCTTGAACAAACATGGTGAAGCAAACTTTAGTTGGAATTTATCATGATCAATGTTACATTGTCTGAAATAATTTTCAAAGGCATAATTTGGTAGTTAGATCCACCAGGAAACATGATTTCTGAGGAAATTGAGCTGAATCTACTTTTTATTGGAAAGATACCACCATGTAGCCAAGGTTCTGAATGTGAAGAACACCGTACGTACAGCTTTAGGCTGCTTAGATTACCACTTTTCCAATGGAGTTTGTTTCTGTTTTTGATTTGTGGATATTTTATGAACGTTTAAGAATTTTACTTCACTGTTGAGGGCAGTCCCAACCAATGCATCTTCTAGGCTTTTATAAATGATTAAAATATACTTTTTCCTTTGTCTCTAGCTGGGCAAGTCTGTGGTGGCAAAGGTGGCGATTCCAGCAGGAACATCGCTGACACTGGATATGCTGACTGTGAAAGTAGCGGAACCCAAAGGCATTTCTCCTGAAGAGATCTTTGCTCTGGTGGGGAAGAAAGTAAAGACCAAGATAGATGCAGATGAATCCATTACTAAGGAATTGTTTTAAAATTGCTGCAAATCATCTTGGGCTTTTGTATAGATATTGCAGGAATTAAACTTTTACATTGGCAATAAAGCTATGTGTGCAGCTGCAATTGTATATTCAAACCTTGTCTGCTCATTTTGATTTTACAAATTTTTTGCATTTTTGATTTTCAGTGAATTTTCTGTAAATAATTCCTTTGATTTTTGCGTGACTATATTAAAGGAGGCCAGATTTTAACAGTCTTTAGAACCGTAGAATCAAAGAAATTGACAACACAGAATATATCCCTCGGTCCATTGAGACATCTAGAAGACATGAAAAAGCGCTATATCAAATGCAAGGATTATTATTATTATTATTATCTCTGCTGGCTCATTAAAAAAGCAATCCATTCAATACTGCTTTCCTGCATATTTCCCTTATTTCCAGGCAGGGCGAAACCTTGGGCAAGTTTCCTTACGCCACACGCCTAATAATAATCCCTCCAAAACCAGCTGGTCAGCTGGGATTTTGACATGCTTAAGGGTATTCAAACTAGACTCCAAGTTCCATGTATGCCACCTTCACATGGAAATTCCTGTGTCTAGAATGGAATGCACACTTCCTCCCGGGAGGGACACACCCTGCTTACTTAATTCCCAAGATAAGGTGCAAATTGGCAAGTGCCAAGGGTCGGGGAACCCCAGAGTATGCGTTGGGGTACTGTAGGAGTCTAACCAGCTAAAACCAAGCCAGATGGGGAGGCGAGCATAAACATGGTCGAAAAGGAAGGTTTTCAGGTGGGTCTCGAAAAAGGGGAGAGAGGAGCAAAGCAGAGGGATTGAGGGAGAGTGTTCAAGAGTGTTCCAAAGCATAGTGGCTGAATGCTCAACCTCCATTAGTGGAGCAGAGGGTCAGAGGGACAAGCAGGAGGCTGGTGCCAGTCGAGCGGAGGCGCTGGGTGGTGGATTGCAGAGTGAGGAGGTTGGAGAGGTTGGGAGGTGCCAGAGAGTGAAGGGATTTGAAAACTAATGTGAGGATTTTGAAGTCGATCCATTTGGGGAGCCAGTGGAGCCTGGCCAGAACTGGTGAGATGTGGGAACAGAGTTTGTTCCAGGTAAGTATGTGAGAAGCAAGGTTTTGAATGAGCTGGATTTTTTCGAATAGTGGTGCTGGGGAGATCGGCAAGGAGTGCGTTTGAGTAATCCAGGCGTGAGGTGACAAACGTATGCACGAGGATTTCGGTTGCATTTGGGATAAGGTACAGTCGGAGGCGGGCAACATGGCGGAGGCGGAGGAAGGTGGTTCTGGTCAGGGCCCAGATGTGGGAAAGGAAGGACAGCTGGGGGGTTGAACCAGATACCTAAATTGCGCACTGGTTCGGTGAGTCTGAGGAAGAGGATTAGGAAGTTTAGAAGGCACTGTCTGGCAAGCATCTTACTGCTTGTCTAGCTAGGAACACCCTAACTGTTAGGGCTTTGGCTTGCAGAATCAGACCACTCAACTGGGCATCACCCTGTAAATATCTGTACCCTCATGGTGATCATAACATCATTTCTAAATTGGAATGATCAAAACTGGACACAACAATAAGAACAAATAACAACAAATTGCATTTATATAGGAGGATATCCCAATGTATTGGCCAGTCAAGGGTCTGCACCCAAGCTGCAGGCTGGAAACAAGAGCATTGGAGGGCAAGGGAGGTGTTGGTGGAAAGATAACCAAAGTCACAGTTGAAGAGGAAGTTCTGGAGATGGGCCTTGAAGGAGGCAAGGGAAGGGACGAGGCAGAAGGGTTCTGGGATAGAGTTTCAGAGGATGGGTGCAGAACGGCTTAAGGCCTAACCTCCAATAGTGGAGTGGGTAGGGTGGGGGACATGAAGCAGGCCAGTACTTGCCGAGCTGAGGGATCGGACAGGTTGGTAGGGTTGTAGGATGTCACAGAGGTAAGGCGGAGCAAGTCTGTGGAGGGGTTTAAAGACGAGGATAAAAATCCTCCAGCTCTCGCACCATCTCTTGTGGTGTTCCCCAGGTTTCTGTCCTTGGCCCTCTCCTTTTTAATATTTACATGCATCCACTCAGTGATATCCAGCAATTTCGAGAAGAAGGAAACTGCAGAAATTCCAGAACGTCTGAAATTGATTGAAAGGTAATGGGACGAGAAGAATAACAACGTATAACAACTGTCAATTAAAGTGCACAGCTCAGCTGTCCATCATCAACTTTTACTTAGTGAACAATATACCATAGCAAGAGGTTTCAGGTCTGAAACAAGAGACTTTTCATCTGATGCAAGACTTTTGCCTGTTGTTTGTGAATTTGCCAACTGACATTGATACAGATGTTTGTCTATGCTGTTGACCTGTCTGTTGTATTGTGATATTTGAATAACAAACCTTGATTTCATATTACGTAAAGAAATTTTCAAAGATAAGTTACTGAGTGTCTTTGGTTCCTCTGTTCTTGGGTCCTTTACTAAAAGTGGGCTGAATAGAATAAGTAGGTTTTATTCTGTTCATTGTCCAGAACCCAACAGGAGTCTAAGCGGAGAGGTAGTGGTGGAGCTGGGCAATGTTGCTGAGGAGGAGGAAGACAGAACGGGTCATGGCACAGACCTCGGGTTTCAAAGACAGTTGAGGGTCGAACACCACACCAAGATTCCATACTGATTTGGTGAGGTGGAGAGTGCATCCATGAATAGTGGTGTTGTCAGTGCCTGAGGTGAGGAGGCACTGACAGGAGCCAAGCAGGAGAGCCTCACTCTTTGTCAATATTCAAGTGGAGGAAATTAGCCCTCATCCAGGACTTGATATCTGACAGGTAATCTGTCAGGACAACAACAACAACAAAAATACATTTACAGAGCGTCTTTCACATCGGGAGGACGTCCCAAAGCGCTGAGGAGGTCCCAAAGGACAGCAGTGGTCCTGGAGTCGAGGGTGGAAGTTAACCATATGCGTTTGGATGATATCACCGAGTGGAAGCATGTAAATATTAAAAAGGAGAGGGCGAAGAATAGAGCCCTGGGGAACACTGTACGTTACAGTGTGGGCCAGGAGGAGAAACAAATTGTAGACGATGGGAAAGGTAGGAATGAAAGCATACAAGAAAATAATACTACTACTAATAATAATACTATTAATAATAATGCTTGTATTGATATAGCGCTTTTCACATCTTCTAGACATATCAAAGCGCTTCACAGAATAGACTGTATATTTGTGGGTGAAACTCAGCAGCCAATTGCACACAGCAGTGTCCTACAAACATAACATAGCATAACATGTAGGAGCAGGAGTAGGCCATTCGGCCTTTGGAGCCTGCCCCGCCATTCAATCATGGCTGATCTTCTAATCTAACTCCAGCTAATAACCTGACCCTGCCTTATCCCCATATCCCTTAATCCCTTTTGCAATAAGAAATCTATCTATCTCAGTCTTGAATATGTTCAAGGACTGAGCATCAACAGCCCTTTGGGGTAGTGAGTTCCATACATTCACCACCCTTTGAGTGAAGAAGTTCTTCCTCAACTCAGTGCGAAAGGGTTGGCCTCTGATTTTAAGGTTGTGACCCCTGGTTTTAGTTTCTCCAACCAGTGGAAACAATCTCCCACTATCTACTCTATTGTGCCCTTTGATGATCTTATAGGTTTCTATAAGATCCCCTCTAATTCTTCTATATTCTAGAGAATATAGGCCCAAATTGGTCAGCCTATCCTCGTAACTCAATCCCTTCATCCCAGGTACTGACCTAGTAAATCTACGCTGCACCCCCTCCAAGGCAAGTACATCCTTCCTTAAATGAGGAGACCAAAGCTGCACACAGTATTCCAGGTGTGGTCTCACCAGGGCCCTATACGGTTGCAGCAAGACTTCCCTACTCTTATACTCTAATCCTTTCATAATGAATGCTCACATACCGTTCGCCTTCCTAATTGTTTGCTGCACCTGCAGACTAACTTTCTGTGATTGGTGCACAAAGACACCCAAGTCCCTCTGGACGCTAACACATTCGAATCTCTCCCCTTCTAAAAAATAACCCGCTCTACTGTTTTTGCTGCCTAGGTGGATGACTTTGCACTTCCCTACGTTATACTTCATCTGCCACGTACCTGCCCAATCACCTAACCTATCTATGTCTCGCTGCATTTTTTTAATGTGGTCCTCTGTGCTGACACTTCCTCCTAGTTTTGTGTCATCCGCGAATTTAGATATATTAACTTCGATATCCTCATCAAGATCGTTGATGTACCAAATTATTATTTTATTTTTAATTTCTTGAGGGATTATTATCGGGTGTGGGGAGTAAGGAAACTTGCCTAAGGTTTCGCCCTGCTGGGAATCAAGCCCAGGTCTCTCATTTGCGAGTCGAGTGCTCTGACCATTGAACAATGTAAATTGTATTTTATTGTACTACTGTAACCTCCCATTAATATGGAAACATAGGAACAGGAGCAGGCCATACAATTAAATCTGCTGCTGCATGGAAATCCACCAGGCAAAGGATTGGGCTCACCAACACAATGGGCAATGTCATGTCAACAACAGTGCTGCTGGAACCCAACAACAACAACAAAATTACATCTGTATAGTGCCTTTCATGTCAGGAGGACGTCCCAATGTAATGTGATGAGATACGGAAAGGGTGGGGAGAGGGAAGGGAGTATAAATGAAGCAGGTGCAGATCTGGTAACAAGAGTACATGCTGTATGACTACTATTAAAATACTGAATAGTATTTCCTCCTGCTTTTATAGCAGCATATATATGCATAAAATCCATCCTTTGTTCACATGGATATGAATTTGCTAAGAATAATTTTAGATTTTAAAACTCTGATCTGTTTGTTGTTTTTATTCTTCGTGATTTCCATGGAAATATATTCACAAACTTCTGCTTCCTGTGATTGTTTGGGAAAGCTCAAGCAATAACAACAACCTGCAGTTATATAGCGCCCTTCACCCAGGACAGGGTCTCAGAGTTCTACACAATAGCGGGATTGGACACTGAGTAAGGGAGAGGGGGGAGAGGGAGGTGACCATAAGCATAGTCTGAAAGGTAGGTCTTAAGGAGGGAATTA